TGAGGTTTTAATACTTTTGGAATGCCCTATTTATCACTTTTTCATGGGTTTTGTAAAGAAAAAATGCAAAGCTCAGCAAATCCTTAGATTCCCTGTCTTCATGTTTCTCCCTGCACTTCTTCCAATCCTGCCCCTCCCATTTCTCTTTGTTCCTGTGGTTTACTCTTTCAATCCAACCAAAGCTGTCCCCCAGTCCTTCCTTCCTGCCTTTATCCTGTTTCCTACTGTAACACGCTGTAACAATATAAAGCGTCAGCTATAAACACTGATCATGACCTCTAAGGTCACCTATTTATTTCTAAAACAACAGTATAGAAAAATACTTCCTCATTGACATGAACAAATCTATTTTTTTTTCACAATAAAAAATACCTTTTGTTTCTCAAGAAATCCTGTTCTTATGAATTGGGCGGACCTTTGTTTTTATCAGTTCAATCTTTCTCTAGATATCAAAGTACATATCAGATTATGTTACCCTTTGTAACCCAGAAAGCTTTAGCTCATTGCTATCTAAGATACATTAAATAAGCCTGGTGTGTCCCCTCATCAATAAAGTAGCTTAGCAAGACAGTTTGTAGTTTGTGCAAATAAAATAGATTCCTTTGAGGTTTATTTCTTATTTCTATTCTTTTTATTTATTTTTATTCCTAATGCACCTTTTCCTCCTTGTTTGCACCTTCTTTAATTACTATGCCAATATGTGACTAGTGAATTTCTCCGCTGTAAGATCAATAAAGCTCATCTAATCTAAGCTAATCTTATTTTGGGAGAGTTTACAAACTTCCTTCTTTTTCAGGATACATGGAAACCATCTTTAAAAGTCAGTTTTCAATTATAGCCACAAATTATTAACTGGATTTAGGTCTTAGATGTGATCCTGGGGATTTGATCTAAACCTCTCTGTGTTGCTCTAGTTCCTATGGTTAGGATTTATCTTCTAGAACCGGAAAGCTTTTCCTAATTATGAATCTTTTGTAAGCTTTATTATTTTTTCTGCCTTATCCATAGCTTCAGCTTTCATTACCTAACAAGTACTGTCTACCAAAGGAAGGCGGGCCTTTAGTAATCGAAAATAAAAATCCAGTTGTAAAACCAGAATATGCAGCCAAGCAGGAAGTCATAGTTCAGAAATGCTCCATCATAAACATGAGTTACTGGAACATATTACTTTCCATGTACTTCCCCTTAATAAGATGAGGGCAAACCTGTCACCTCTGAAATGAAAAACTTCCTTTTGTGAATAAAACAAAAACAAAACAGCAAAGATTTAGAGCACGGGATCTGTCTTAAACATTCAGAGAAAGTATTACCTGCTTTCATAAATACAACTTTTTACATCACATTGATTTTTGGCATTTTACTCCTTCGCATTACAGATATAATTTCCTTCCTTTTCATTGTTTTACTGTCAGAGGGAAATCTAAGCCTTTCTAAACCAAAGTTATGCAAGTCGGCCATAGCATAACAAAAGAAATCAATGCTGAGATAACAACCTGAGAAAGAGAGAGCTGCGTCTAAAAATAGATCTATTACGCAGTGGCGCCCTAAAGTCTTCCTTGTGAGGATGCCGTGCATTTAGCTTTGGATATCAGGGATGAAACCTTCCTGAAATACATAGAATGTCACTAAGTCAATATTTCTTACCTCCTAAACCCATAGATCTAGATGCTGTTGCTGGGCAGTTACCGAAGTCAAACATTGCTGAGCATCTAGATCAGCAGCATTATTTATAGATTAGTAGGCATAAGTATTAACGCTAATGGTAAAGAGTGGTCAAATATCTTAGAAGAAACAAGCATACTGAAATAAGGTGGAAAAGCCAGGCATTTTGATTTGAGTAACAAATCAAAAAGTCAAAATAAAATCTTGCATTTGCTAATATTAGTTTTTTCTTGTCTTAATTAGCACAATAATGAGTCCAGTCAATAATTTCTAAGCCCATTTTGTTAGGACAACTCCTTTTTCTTGTTGCAGATTTCAAAGGGGCAGCACATATGGAGATAAAGTGGTCATTTGGTGATTTCTGCTTGCATGATCCTGGATCCTGTTCCATGTGCTCTTCTCTTCAGTTCACCTTACAAGTTTCCAGCAGGATTTCGGTCTGGTTACTCAGATGATCACAAAAGAAACTTGATTTTGAATCTTGAAACATCTAGCCAATTCTGTTAGACAAAATTATGACCTATTATATATTTGACTTAACATGTGGTATGGTAAATTATTATCCCTTGAGTTATGGATCCTCTTGAAAATATATTTCATTTCATTTATTTCAGTAACTTATTATAAAAGGGTTCTGATAACTAGGTCACTAAACGAAAACAAATTAAGGGAAGAATTTAAAAATCACTAGAATGTTTAAAAATAAAGCTCAGAGAAGAAACAATAATTTTCAAAGGATTAAATCTAAACTAATATAAATATGCACAGACTTGCTTAAAAGAAGGAAAATTAAGTAAAGATCTGAGAACACAGTTTATAAATGCAGAAAATAAACATCCAACTTATTGTGCCTGAATCTCTATTGTTTTTTTTTTTAAAGTGCTCATCATTATCATGCATTTCCTATTTCTTATATTCCTTTATTCAACGTTTGCCTGTATCTGAATGTGTTTCTGCAACTAGGTCAACTCCCAGCCTTACCAACCAGTGTTTGTTCTTCAGGGAGAAAAGCTGCCTGGAGAAGAAACAGGCCCCACCCTGCTCTGTGTCATACACTCTCTACACCACACATTAGCCTCAGGCAGAGGCGGTGTAAGTATATTACACACAACACCGTCTCCATGGCAAGCCGCTGGCTGCAGTCCAGGAGTTAAGTCTTTGCTTATGCACATCACATGTAATGTAGTCCTAAATCATAAAAAATGTTTATCTAAGAGTTTTTCTTAAAATTTTTTCAGTTTAGAATACATAAAATAAGAGCGCTCCCCTTTTCTTTTAATTATCTTAAGTGGATAAAAGATGGATCACACATCAAAATGTGACATGCAGTTTAGGTAAGCTGCAGTGTTTATAACGTGTGGTGAAACATTGTCAAAGAGGTTTCCATGGTTGCAACTCTTTTTTTTTTCTTCTTCATTTTACAACAAAGACTGATTGCTTTTCATGATTGCTTTTGTTGCTGATAACAAGTTTTACTGGCAGAAAATGAACACTTAAAGAGCATGTGTTGTTGTAACATAACACACAAGGTTACTGGTTGTAATATAAGGGAAATAAAGGTTTCCTAGTGGATTTTCTTCTTTAATAAAGCGATGTTTGATTTTAAAGGCTTGTATTTAAAAGAAAATGTAATTGCATTATCTCAAAAACTTGTTGCATTTGGTGAATAATATTAAATTCTCATTGAATGGCAAAATTAACATTTTTAAAACCTAAGCACAGAGGAGAACAACATTCAAGCATGTTTTTTTATAATTAAGTTGGAGCATCTGATCTGTTATTAAATTTTATTAAAAAGATTACATTAGTGGTATGAATACAGAGTTTAATCCTTTAATGTTATGAAACTTTAAGATATTTTGTTGCATACCACCTGAGGTAAACAGACAGGTAACCAGGAGGCTGGTTGGTCGGTAAGCATAAGGGCAAATTGTAATTCTGCTGCAGTTTCAAAGTTCAATTAAACATTTGCTCCTAGCATACCAGATAGGCTAAATAAAAATGAATAAATATGGCTATGCAGGTTTGCACGCTATATAACAAAATTTTGTTTTTTTATAAATCAATATAAGAGTTTGAGTTTTGCAGCAGGCTAAACTCCAATGCAAACCTGAAAATCTTAACTGATGTGTTTTCTTTCAGGAGCGCCTGAATGCAGCAGACTTGTACTCCTTGAACCAAAGCCGTTTTGCTGCCTGGTAACCTTATTTACACCGGCGATAACTCCAAATATGGAGAGCCGATGACGCCATCCCTGTTGCTGTGCGCGTCCTCCGGGGAGGAGCGTGAGAGAAATGAGAGGGGGGAGGAGGGACTGCGGTTGCGCGTCCACGTCATGGCTTTTCCACTGCGCGTTCCCTCGGGGCTGTTTTACTACCGGATGGTACATATAAGGAAGACATGTGCCCGTGCGTGGATTTGTGCGTGGATTTCATGTGTATGTGTCAGAGTGTGACATAGTGCATTATTATGCATGTGAAAGCGGATAGGCTAAAAAGTCCCCAGTAACTGAAAACACCATTTTTTTTTCCTCTCCACGACAATTCTTCGAACTGCTGGTTGGGTTTTCACCAGGATGTAAACACCGAGTCATGCTGCATGTTTTTTTTTTTTTTCCTTTATCATCCTTTATATTAATATATAATTTGTTTTTATAGTAAACAGGAAAAATAATCAGGAAATCCTACTTAAAACATCTAAATAATGGATTATTCACATTATTACTATATTACATAATTCTACTGGAAAACGACCTCATATCTATTTCTTTTCTCATATTATTATTTAATGAATTCATAATTACAGGTGTATCATTAGAGTGAATGAATTATACAAAACATTAATTTTAAGAACCTCACAATGGCCTCATTTAATGTATGCACTATGATAAACTGTGATACAAAATGTTATATTACATGTTATCTATGTGTTTGCAATATATTATATCATATAGTAATGCAAAATCCACGTAATTAGGCAACCATAATCATACAGGCTAATAGTCTACAGGTTTTATTGTTTGCTTCACTGTTTTAAAATGAGTAAATTATTCAATAAGACCTCAGAAGCTATAACCTGCATTATTCTTTTACTGAATGACTGTGGGGAGATCGATGTTACCTCAGGATAGAGCTCGAGGAATTTGGTACCTTTAGAAAAACTCAAATTAATGACAGAGATTAAGCGTGAGAGGAAATAGTCAGACAGAACAGATGGTTGTCTGAGTGTGTGTGTTGGTGTGCGCTTAGGGGTGTTACCACAGCAGGTGTGGGAGGCGCCTGCTTGTCACTTACTGAGGAATGAAGTTCACTTTACGTCATGGAGGAAATAAAACGCCGCCCTACTACACGCGTTCTCACATTTCTCAGAGCACAACAGCTGGTGAACAACAGAAGAAAGAACTGAGAAACAGACTAGAAACTAAAACTTGATTGACTGCGGGTAAAAATAGCTATCCGATCTTTTTGGTAAAAAGGTGCCAAAAAAAGAACCGTGCGCAATTACGCATAGAAGAAACAAAATGACAACAGCGATGGAAGTGAACATGGAAGCCAGGCGGATACTGGCCGTATCCATAAGTAAGCTGTACGCTTCAAGGTCCCAGAGAGGAGGACTGAGACTCCACCGGAGCCTCCTGCTGTCCCTGGTCATGAAGTCTGCCCGGGACATCTACCACTCCTCACGGGAGGAGGACGCGCCGAGCGGAGCGCAGTCAGCCCCGGAGGAGCCGATGGAGACTAGCTCCGGTCCTGAGGTGCCAGAGCCTCAGCCCCTGTCGGAAAGAAACTCCTCAGAAACCGCCTCAGAGGAGTCGGACAACAAGGCGAAAGATTACGACTGTGACACCGTCGACGACAAGGAGAACTTGAGCCCGACGAAGCAGTCCAGGAAACGCCGGGGCAAGGCGTCGGCGGCGCCTGACTTCCTTCCCAACAAGAGGGCGAGGCTGGAGCCCGGGGAAGAGAGGTATTCAGCCCCACTGGGCAGCTGCCGGGTCGGGGCTGGAGAGTCTCTGGCCACTTTGTCTCTAAATCAAGTCATACCTGCCTTCTGAACAGATAAAGGGACAAAATAGTCTCCTGTTGGACTTTTGAAGTGGAGCAATTCTTAACTCCATGTACTAAGCACCGATGAGCTGACCTACATCAGCAGTCCCGGGACAAAGGGATTAATGGTGCCAAGGAACGGGCTTTCAGGCCGAACTGTTCCTGCTGGGGCAGGTAAAGCCCCCAGAAACAAAGAAAGGACAGAGGAAGAGCAGTCAGATGGCTGGAAAGTTGGTTGAAGAACCTGATTAGGGAAGTGGTTGTGTTTCCACTTGTTTCCCTATGACTCATCTTCAGTTCAGTGACTCCAAACAAGTGACAACTGCTGAGTCAGAATGTGTGTTTGTAAATCAGCAGAGTGTTCATCAGAGAGCAGAAGGAGTAAGCAGCTGACCACATGCAGAAACGCACAGATGAAAAATGAGTTTCAGGGAATTTCCTGTCTTCATGACGAGAAATCGGAGAGGAAAAGAGGAAGGAGAGCTGAGGCAGACACATTCAGCTGCTCCTGTGGACTTTGATAAATCAATACTAATGCTGCTGGACTGTCCTACATACTACATTCATATGGTGCTTTAATAAACTGACTATATTGCACTTTAAAAACTTGTTGTCCATTTGGACATTAAATATTTTACTGTGATTCATCTTGTTCATGTCTGACCTGTGAAATGTGGCCTGACATCTCAAACTGTTTGATAATTCTGTTGTGAATTCAACATTGTCAACGTTTGTAATAAAGTTGCTGAAAGAGTAATCATCTGTTGTCGTGATGTTTTTGTTTATATGAAACACTTAGACTAAGGAGATGTAGGATGGGTTCCACATTGTAGGCCACAGCTTCACAGGGTTAATCCTTTATTAAAGGGTGGAGGCTGGTACGACTCAGCATCAGGAATGACTCGGTACTGTTAATCTCCTGCTTACAATAAGACTTCCTCTTGCAAACAGCTTCCCTCGCTGTGCCGTTTCCTTCGGATTAGGATGGAATTCTGAATCACATCCTTCCTTCCTGATATTAGCCCCTCTGGTTTATCACAGGATCCATTAAAGTTATACAATATGGCAGCAGTACAGCTTGTGGACCAAACACCACTGATGGGGGGAAAAAATAGAAAAAAGCAGCAGGTGGTGTTTACAGCTTAAGGCTATCTTCATCATTGACTTCCTGTCTGCTGCCTTGAGTCTACACCCTCAAACCTGTGGTTCTTAATTGTGATGTTGGTCTGGTTGGGCTGGTTATTCAGGTGATCATCATGATTCAACTAGAATACAGAGGGGAAAATAAGCACTTAGGATATATATTCTAACATGGCTAGTGATTTAAACTGGCACAAAGAAAAAACATATTTTGCATAAATTAACTTTGTTCAATTAAACAGAGTGAATAGTGTAAGAGCCTATTGAAATTAAATATTTAGCTGAAAATGTTTATTTTCTTAATTATCTATCTATCTATCTATCTATCTATCTATCTATCTATCTATCTATCTATCTATCTATCTATCTATCTATCTATCTATCTATCAGAATCAGCTGATTAAAATTAATTTTTATTTTGAGAAGCCCATACATTAGCATATGTTGTTTACCTTAATCAGCTGCTTCGTGAACTCATTCATTAATAAAATGTCAGCACGGAATAAATGGTCACTTAAATCCCCAGTCCACAGATTTATCACAGAAAGCCCAATCTTCCTGCTCTATCACTGGCTAAAACATAGAAAAACAAATCCAGAATCTGGGTCAAGCCATTTGTGGGCTTACCCTGTGATGTTTGCTTTTGAAATCTATTGAAATCCCCCTTCAAACTGCAGTTCAGTGGGATTTCAGAACGTAATGGCATTTTCGTTCCGTGAAACAAAGACTCTGAAAGGCTTTAAAATAACAAGATTGGCTTATGGACAAAAATATTGCGACATATGTAAGAAACGAGAGAAAACTCTGAGGAGTGCTCTGAACTGTCATAAACACACACAGTGAATCGCTTTAACAGTCACATTTTTTATCATAGAGTAATTAAAAAGCTAAGAGTCACTGGTATTAGTCAACTTCCTCCTCACATTTGATCATTCTGTGTGGTATGAAACCATTAAACCGAGCAGATTTCTCCTGTTTGAAGTGCTCAGCATTCTGTCATCAGCTTTAGATGAACTTTAATAATGTTGATCAGCTGGATTTGGATCAATCTGACTTAAGTGCTCCAAAGAGATCTGGAGCAGCGGCTGCTCGTCTCACAGCTCCAAATCATTCACAGCCAGGCTACATAGAAGTGGTACACAGTGTTCCACACGACCACGAAAGAAAACAGCATGTCCTTGGACAGTGCAAGGGCTCTATCCAATCACATATTATTAGACACATAGCCTATTTTGAAAAGAGGCCCATTATGGATAAATTCAGAATCTCACTTTGACTTGATGGAATGATTAGTTTATCAAAAGAGGGTTTTGACAGAGCCAGAGGCAAAAGTGTCCCTAAAGCAGAAAGGGTGGTAGGATGGTTTTTTCCTACGCTCCAGGAGAAAACATGTGCTCGTGTTCTCTGTATGTGGGATAACTAGACATCTGTAAGCAATCATACTAAAACAGTTCAATGTTTATGTCTCTCTCCTACAGGATCTGCTGTGTGCAATGCCTGATATGGGTTGATCAATGTATTCCTGCTACTGCTGCAGCTCTAAAAAACAAAAAGCCTTTTATATTTTGCGCTTTGAAAACAATTTAAGGGTTCTTAAACTATTGAATACTCTGGATTCAGAATACCTGCAAATCCAAGCCTAAATATTAAAACAACAGAGAGCCTTAACAGGGCTTTTTTAAATCTCTTGAATATTTTCAAACTTAATGCATCAGAATATTGCCGTGCGAAAACTGTTCCAGAGTTAAAACTGAAACAGGAGGAATCTATAAACTTTCTTGCAAACAGATTTTAGCCTGATGTTTTTTTTTTTGATAGATGCAAGAGGGTTCTGCAAAATTGGTTCTTTCATTAAATACAAGTTTACCAGGATGTCAGAGATGTGTTAAACAAACAAGCTGTACGCAGATGCTGTTAAAAATGTTGATCCCCTCTAAAGAGACAGAGAAGTATAATGAATCAATGACAGAGGAAGCATGACTGTTGACTCTGAAAGCATCATTTAAAAAAAAAATGAGTGTCCCATCTTAATTACATCTCTAGCCTCTTTGTTAAGAATGTGCAGATATAATACACTACTAAAAATGATCTAGAAAAGAAATAAAATCATCTTAAATTAAGTATATTTAGCCTTAATTTGAGCAGCTAAATTAAATTATTTGCCAATAGACCAAATATTTTTACACTTAAAATAAGATAATAAGATAATATGCCCTTGAAATAAGATGGTGCGATTTCTTTTTTCTTATTTTAAATATATATTGTCTTGTTTCACTGGCAAAGGTTTTCACCTCCTCAATTCAAGAACAAAATGCACTTATTTGAAGAAAAACATTACTTACTAAGATTGAATTTTTTTGCGGTGTATAATGTATGAGGGTCTTTAACCCTTAAACTGTGTTTTAAACAAAAATATTTTGAAATTCAAGGCTTTAGTGAAATCCACAATCCTTATTATGATTATCCTTTTATTATATATTCTAATTAATTATAATGTTTCGAACATTGTGAATATAAAGAATGAAAAACACCCCCCCTGTACTGTCGGCTTCAGAAAGGTGATCTTTTTTATAAATTATTGATGAATTTCAGCAGCGACTGAAGAGATGTTTCCAAAAACAGATTTGCTGCCCAGATCCTGGAAAAGAGGGGTCCAGCCATACAAGATGCAGCGTGATTAAGATGCGGAGTGCAGAGGCCAGACAGTCGCAGTGACGTGGAGCTCTGACAGCTCAGAGCTAAAAAAAGAACAGGACCGGAAATGTCACAGGATGCATGCATTGGTCCGCCGCCATGATCATGCCTGTGATGGAGGCAGATAAACAGTGTGACGAACAGAGGAGCTGTGTGCAGATGTGCGTAGGTGCAGACATATTTTATTGCTGTGTTAGATGGCAAATCTTATGCAACAAAGCCTTTGGTGAATAAGCTGGTAAAATGTAAACAAATTAAACATCTTAAAGAGCAGCATATATAAACATGAAGCGTCACTGTTTGAGGTAAACAAACAGGGCTATACTTTCAGACTAGGGGTGCACTGATCGCAGGTTTCTGGCCGATCACTGATTCCTGATCTTTTAAAAAGTATCTTGATTCCTTTAAAAAAAAAAAAAAACGATGCTGTCAGTTGTTATAGGACCACAAATCCCCTTAAATATTTCAATCTTAATCTTACTGAAAGTCATTAATTAGTACCTTTGAAACGATGAAAACTTCTGGAATTTCTCCTCTCAAATATAAATCAAGGTTTAGAGCACTGATTTCCAGACCTTTGCAGAGGTAGATACCGTCTGTGGAAAGATCAGTTTTGCATCTAAGTATCATCTGATCACCAATCTCCCAAAGTTAAGGAAATCTAGGCCGATAAATCAGTCGATAAAAAGACAAATAGAAGTTGGAAAACATTTAATAGGGATTTCTTAAGTGGGTTGTAGATGTGAATACATTGCTGTAGGCAGGATGAAGGCAATGTTCAAGGTTGTTTGTAATTTTCTTAATTTAAGGAAATCATCAAGAGGTTCCAGAGGACTTCTCAGAATAGAGTCAGCATTCTCTTTTGGCTGGTTGAGCTTCGTTAAGTCATTGGCTCGTTAGCCCAACAGATGATGACAAAGACTACACTCTCCACAACAGACCTATATAGGTCATGTGCAAAATATTACTACAGACTCTGAAAAAAATATAGTCCCCTCAGTTTCATTTCCATTCCAGTCAGTCCAGGTAAACACCTATTCAAACCCATTCGCCACCTCCACTTCTTCCATGACGACAATAGCAATGTTTCCATTAAACTGAAATTCGAATCTCACATTACGTCGTTACTCATGGCTGTAGTAAACAGGAAGTATAGGATGCAATCTAGCACTGACCACTGATCAGTCTTGGAGGAGCGTTTTCCAAGCAGGGAAGTTGTTCTTACGTTAACATGTCAGTAATGGCGATGTTGCTTCCAGGTTCTACGGATATAAAAGGAAAATTCAGTAAAATGCAGACATTAGAAACAGCTGATCAGTCACGTCAGTAAAAGTTCACTATATCAGAACTGATTCGAAAAAAAGTGTTTCCATTTCTTTTGTGCACCAACCCCTTTTTACAAAAGCCTAAAATCACCTCAGGTGAGCGTAAAAACTTTTTTTTTGCATATTTTTTGGAGTTTCTTGCAATTTTTCTGTTTCCGTTTAACTTACCTGATGTGACACTTCAAAATGAGAAAAAAAGGATGAATATGCACCTAATAGTGTTTGCTATATTTCTCTTGGAAAGTATAATCATTCCCCTTTTCCTCTACACATTCCAGAGTCCATGATTGTTTTCACACCTTGAAATAAATGGTTTAACCTGCTCCGTTTTTTGTCAATCTCAAAGCACCCAATGACTATTGAGTCTGTATATTTCTGCAGATGGCAGCTGTTTATCTTGCACTAAAAGTCTGAGGTGGAAAGAGTAAACAGGTATCTTTATAGTTAGTCACCAATAAAATCAAGAAGCATTTAAAATTAATCTGCTTGTTACAATGAAACAGAGCAAGGGAACACTATCATGAATTTATAGATTATCGACTTTCTGTATTAATTTGGAATCTTACATATTAAGTTGATCTTAGAATTACATTTGGGG